TAATTATGAGCTAAAATTAGTGGTTCAAAAACACTGCAATCGAGGCTCCAAATGGGACATTTCAGAAACAGCAGTGTGGACCAGGAGTACCCCTTTTGCACCAAATTAACTCTGGTTCTTGAACTGGTTCCATTCAGGATTCAACAACAGACAACAATGCATTATCGTATAAGAAATAAAGCTGCCTCCTGTGTGAGATGCCTGCAACGAATAGGGTCGGCCAACGCTACTGTGTTTTAACATTATAATGGTGCTACTTGAGCCTGATATTTTCTGAGGTGGTACACTGTGTAAAACGTTTAAGAAACACTGCTGTATTCTACAGTAAGTTATATTTGCTGTCATATACTTTACTAAATGTTTATTATAAACTGTTTCACTATATCACTACATTTAATATATTAGTCTGGGTTTGCTGTTTACATAGACTTGTTGACTCTGCTGCTATTAATCATACCACTGTCATGGTACCTGTAATTCTGTCTCCAAATGCGTTGTATAATTTCTATTTTGTATTTTTGTATTTTTATTTATCTCTATTACATATTTCTCTTTCTATTTAACTTTCTATACTTATCTGTACTCATTTCTGTCATTGTGCTACTGCTAATGCAGCAAAAGTCGATACAGCATCTTTTTTATTCAAAGCAAAGTATTCTTCTTCCTTCAGACTCTGGTGCCTACACTACCCACAGGGCAGCTTGACCACCAACAGTTCAGTCACAAATTTGGAAGTCAGAGACTGTGTCTGGCTTTATTTTTTATTTATGCAGTATTACTCCCCAACACCTGTTAACCATATTTGATGCGTGAAAGTCTACTTTACAGTCTTGAAATCAACACACATAAATTTACACTAACTCGTACTTCAAGTAGCCTAATGCCTTGGTCACAGTAGCAGTAGCTCAAACTGCGGAAAAAGTTAATGCTGCTACGGTAAGCCCTGAGGGTAAAATATCGGTCACTAACCGCTTAAAGCAATCTGAACTTCCACACAGTACTGAGTGAGTCTGTAACACCATGTAAGGGTTCCTGTTTCCATCACCAGCAGTTAGTAGGTAGGAGAAGGTGAGGCCTTTTGTCAATGGTGACTCACGAGATAGGGCTATTTCCTGGAAACAGTACATATTGGTGCAGACCAGCAATATACCGAAGTATCAGTAAATTTTTATTTTTTTTTGCCAGCACTAATGGATGGATGGATGGGGGATGGGGCGATGTGAGAAGAGGGATAGAAGGCAGAGTAGACTGCCAGACAGTGAGTGCCAGGTCAGGGTTAATGGATAACGTCCCCCTGGACCGCAGACTACTTCCACCTACACATGACTGGTGCACTCATTCATTCAGCACACACAAGCTCACTAATATAACTGTTACAGCTTTGTGTGTCAAGAAAAAAAAGCAGTGAGCTTAAGCAGACTTGGTTGATTGTAATCTTTCATTAATCAATATAGAATGAGCATGATAATTTTGAGATATTAGTACAGTCAGTGGAAACAAACTAGATTTTTTCTAAGAGACAGTGACTCACAGGGTGCGGTTAATGCTGAATCAACACAAAACTGATACGGGAAGTGAAAAAAAGAAGTACTGTAGCTTGATTTAAAATTAGAAACCAGAAAACATCTGTCAGCTGTCAGGGGTAGTATTGAGGCCAAAGCGAAAGACAGAGCAAATTGGATGAATGTCGTGGATTCAAAATTTGAAGAGAAGCTGTGCTCTCAAGCAGTCTGGAGTGTAGGTGCACAGATAGCTGCCAGCACTGGAGAATGCTCACATATCATCAATCAAGGTTAGGTCAGGTCAAATATGTAGCAGTTCCCGTTGAAACATGTTTGTGTGTACCAAGTGCACAGTCTTTCAATTCAAAGCAGGATCTAATATCAAGCAAAACACACAGAATGTAAGTCTATCACTCAGGGACAAGCCATATCAAAAACATAAGAACAAGCCATTTTGAAATTATCTGTCAATGTCGGTCTTTCGGTTGGTCGGTCCACATTTTTGGTCCAGACTAAAAGTAGCACAGTGCCCAGGTATAGCCTCACTGAGCTGCTAGTGTGGCTTTATGACATCCGTGCCAGACGTTGCCGACTTGTGTATTTTGTCTTTAAAACTGATACAAAACGTGTTTCTCCACTTCCAAGAGGAACTTCTCCTTGCCCGTGGTGTCAAATCTCCTTTAACTGACTCCTGGCTTGGTGCCACAATGTTGATGTAGTGTGAAATTTGATCTGGAGTCTGCGTGGGTAAACTGATTGGATTCTCTATCCCGTTTCCATCTTGCACTTCCGAACAATGTGATGCTCTGCGCTGCTTGATCTGCGTGGGTCGCGGCGTCTGTCAAAAATAGACCAGCTGCGTATTCTCAGTGGAGCAGGGCGGAGAGATGCTTCTGGGATGTTTCACAATGCTTCTGGTGGAATCACAAGTATTGTCTAGAACAGGCGCGATCAGCTCCGGTGGCAGCGCCCAACTGGAACGCACCGCGGTCGTGCCCGGTTGATTTTGGCCATTAGTCTTATTTCCCTGGGAGGGGTTCCTGAAAAATGAATGTGCGCAAAGATTGTCATATCTTCAAAACAACCAGTTCATCACCAGATAGGAATGAATAAGCAAGTGACCTCCAATCAAGTGAAATCAACATCAGAGTCAAAAAATTAGCGCAGAAACTCAATTGACAAGAAATCGCATTTGATACTACTGTAGCACAGGAACACTAGGACCCATGTAGGGGGAAATAGCCAATCAGGTGACAGCCACAAAGTAATAAGTGGGCTCATGGGCAGTAGGAGTGGAGACTGCAGGCTGCCCCCACACTCAGACTGGTGCTTTGTATGCTCTCTCCATGTGCCTGTGATGCTTTTATACACGTGTGGCTCTGATAGAAAAGCTGAAAAGAGATGACTAAATGTGAGCAGGTGCAGAGGCAGAGTACTGGCTGCCGTTTATATTAATATGATTTTAACATTACGTATTTTAGTCCTTATTTATCTATAGTTCAGTTAACTTGAGCTTGTTTCTAGTGCTGGCGGTGGTGGCCTCCAGTCACGGGTGTAGTCGAGGTGATCAGAGTTCACTCACTTAAGATGGTGGTATGGTTTGCGGTGGCACATTTTTATTGGTATGGTGTCTTTTTTTAAATTCGTGTTTCGGCCTGTTACATTTCCAAGGTAGAATACTCTGTGTGCCATCAGTGGGTTGGCTTCCCTACCATGGTACAACTGTCTGTCCTCCTCTATTTCCTTCCTGTTTAAAATGTTTTTGTAAATGTTATAATAGCTAGTTATGGCAGTTAGCCCACTACGGCTTCCTTATTTGAGCCTGTGTTACATTATATTGTAAGCAACCATTATAGACTTACCACCATCACAGTCATTCACTGAAAGGTGCTACAGCTATTACCTGTGTCCTTTTTACGTTTCATTGAGCAAGTACCAAATTTCTAGATTGACACTGCTGTACAGATTGTTGTAAGTTGACTTACAATGAAAGTTTGTAACCTTCTTAAACTTTCTTTGATCGTTGAACTGCTCCCTCAGCTTCCATGTCGACTAAAAATGGCATCAGTGAGATAGGCATTTCATTCCATTGTTTAAGGGCAAAACTAAACTAAAACTGACTAATTTGATTTTAAGAAACCCCACATTATTTCATGATTGTGAACATCTATATATCTGGGCACAACATGCTCCATGTTAAATTAAATTACAAGACTTTCCAAATTCAGAGAAAGTCCAGCAAGCTGTGGAATCTCCACCTGCAGTACAGTCATTAAATCATTCAGTGCTGCCTCTTCCTCTTTCCCTCCATCCATCCATCCCTGTGTGTGAAGATGAAAGGAGTGACTGGCTGGGTAACCACCTAATGAGGAAGAGAGAGGGGAACATGAGGAAAGGTGGAGAGGGGACTAAATGAATGGAGGGGGTGGATGGAAAGTATCATAGAGCATAGAGAGGGAGACTGTGGAGTCAAACGTGGAGAGAAATTAGAAAGTTAGAGAGGCAAATGAAGGGAAGCATAATGAGGGAATTGAGATATAATGAGAGGGGGAGGAGAGAGAAAGAGTGGGGGAAGGAGTCAGAGAAAATGAGTGTGGCTAGGAGAGAATAGGAGAGGGGACATGGGGAGAAGTGTGTAGGTGTGTGAGAGCTGCAGAGAACAGCCAGGGTGATGGCAGGCGCTGCTGCACGATCAGCACTGCTATTTATAGATCAGTGGAAACAGGCAAAGGAAGACAGGACCAGCAGCACTGCAGACCTGCTCTATTATCAGCCTTAATGTAGTCGCATATTATACCCAGTTTAGTAGACAGGGGCATCTGTGGGTGTGTGTGTGAGAGTGTGGCATTTGTGTCCTTATGAGAACTAGATACATGCATATAAAGATGTAGAACATGTGTCCTGATTGCTAGTTTAGGGTTAGGGCTGGGAGCTAGGACCTATCCTGTCTGGATGTGCAATGGTGCAAAAGTAGGCATGCTTTAAAACTCTCTATTAAGCATAATTTCTTCCCTATACAGCTACTTTTTGTGTGCACATCCACGTGTAACATCATGAATGTGTTTGAGCAGTCCATCACTACGACCTGTATGATTGTCTGACCGCCTTTTAGCAATGTTACCACATCTTCAGATCTTAGCAATCAATTTTGTGAGTACTCTCCACAATGTTAGCCAAAACTATGAAATAAGTGAAATTATTCTTTGAATCTCAGCTTAAAAGTGAGGCTGACTGCATCCACATTAAATAAACAGTATTGTAATTGTAGCCCTTTGTACACACAGTCCCCCCGTTTTAAACGGCCAAATATATGTTCTCACAGCAGACACGTTGTATCTGGACTGTCAGGTCTGAACTATTATGCTTGTTTCACAGATTTTAATACAGCTGTGGCAAGTGAAATCCATGATTAGTTGGACTGAGGTCAGATTATTGAGTAGACCAGAGTTTTGTCATAATATTAGCTGCCTTTTCTGTGTCCTCGATCATTGTGCTGCATTGTCCTAAAAGTGATGGATTATGTGTAAATCATTTCTTCAACTATCTGTATCTAAAATATGAACTCCGTCAGACAGGCTGAAACACTGCCAGCCTTTAACACAAAATCTGTTTTTGCTGTGCTGAAGTACACAGCCAAAGCAGTAAAAACAGAAAAGAAAAAAGAGGTAGTCCATGGAAGAACAATTCTTTTTAAAGATTCCTGCAGCAGGTTCAGATCCCTGACCGTTCTTCCTTTCTATCTCTTTCTCTTTTGTCCTCAATGTTTGTTTGAGTTGGCAATTTTTTTTAAATGTGAATGCTTCACTGGAAGACCACATGGCCTGACCATGCTGACCATGAATTACATACAGTGATTATATATCTTTCCAAGTCCTTTCAACCTCATTTCATCCAAGATAAAGAGAACATGAGAAAGAGAAGTGAGACAAAGAGGAGAGAAAGTGGTCAGACACCCCTTTAGAAGGAATTGAATGAGTAATAGGTAGGGTCATTGTTCTCTAGCAGAAGAGCTTAATTCACTGGAATGGAATTCTGTGGGCATTGATGTCATCTACATGCTGTTTTAATGGAGTTTCTATTCTGAAAAAATACAACTGATAGAAAAATGTACAAATATATAAACCACCTTCGCTAGCCAATTACTTGAGAAATACTGTGGTAATGTCATTGTTCTACCTTTGCAAAAAAGAAACACTCAAAGTAGTAGCATTACACAGACTTCTGAATAGGGGTTATGCGCAATGTACTTCCGCATTCTGCGAAACAGGTCTTATCATCACATCCGGTTCAGGTCGGCTGTACCGCGCTGAACCTTAACTGGCTACATTGGATATGGCGCTGTTTAACTCTAGATGCCTTCAGGAATTACCCCTAATGAGCATAACTGATGTCCATCGCATATGACATCTTAAACTCCTGCCACCACAATGGACAAGGGGTTTAAGTTATACGCCTCCTCATACATATTTGACTATGAAGGTTTGTATCTGCTAGCGATAGCTCATGTTGGCATTCCCGAAACGGAATAATGCAGTATGTCACTATGGTAGCTAAGTTGTCGCTTTATTTTTCACCAGTATCAAACAAAGACAGACTGACTGGCGCCGTCAGCATCAGGGCAGCTTGCCACAGATCTATGAGGAAAAACGAGAAGCCACACAGCCCGAGAGTAACGTGTGTTCTGTTCGGGTTCTCAATCTGTTCCAGTTCAGGGACAATATTTATCAAGCCTCTCAGGGTAGGAGTAAGTAAGAGTGGACTAATCAGTGATCATGACCGGGTCCCCTTGACTGTCTAATCACCATGGACAGACTTGCAGGAGCTGCTTTAGTCTGAGATGCTTGGTAAATGCATGCACAGTTGTTCCAAGTTCAATGTTGTTGTTTGTCTACTTGTTAAAAGATGTATATAGTGAGGTTACTGGGGTAGGTGACTCTGATTGGACATCCTTGATTCTTGAGTGCCATCATTCCATGTTATTCATAATACGTCCTATAAAAGTCCCTCTATTACAGCATGGACAAATTCTGTTATTGTATTTGTTGTATTAATGTCATTGCCAAACTTGCCCCAGCAACCTAACTAGACTGTTACTCAAATCAGTGGCATCTTTTTGAACCACTGCTCAAATAGGATACATTAAAGATCAAGCACACTCTCAAATCTCAACTCTCAAATCTGTGTCAATGTTTGTAAAAATTTCTCTCCATATACTTTTGTACAGATAGTGCTTCGGGATTCGGACCCTGTCATCCTCACATCAAATCAGTGCTCATGTGTAGCTGGCACTGCAATGTGTAACCACACAGTAGCTTTGCTGTTTCAAACTGCACATTATTCAGAGTTGAATGTGCAGGTTGTGCCACCTGTCCACAGCGGTAAGTGTTTAGACACAGTTCCTAGGCCTAATACTCCTGGCATTAATGATATTTAAGTATACATATGTATTAGAATAGTCTGTCAATGCCAGAGTCAAACGTTTAAAGGGTCAGGAACCTTAGATGGAGAGCAATGTATTATTGAATGCAATTTAGTTTTGCTCTCATTGTTTTAACATAGGCAGTTGTAATATGTCACATACTTTGCCAGATTAGTTTTTTGAGGGGGGATTTTCCTTTCAATTTTATTGTCTCCTTTTTGATTTTTTTTTTTTTTTTGTGAACCCTGGGCCAATAAACAAAATGGTCATCACCAGACCAAGACTCAACCGGCTCACAGAAGGAGGAGTCAGGTGAGGTAGTGAGCTGCTATCGCAATTACTGCATCATACAGTCTACATATGTATACATACACACACACACACACACACACACACACACACACACACACACACACACACACACACACACATATGAACACGCATACACACACATAAAGTATACACACACATATGTACACACACATAAATAAAAGAGAGATTTCATAGGTGTCAATAAGCTGCAAATATTACTAACACTAATTACACTAGTAACACTAATATTACTAACACTATTACATTCTTTCACAGGAGTACACTCTACAAGGGCTTGGTTGGGGACTCACTAGACATCTCTTTGCTACTGATTGGAGACATGTACAAAGACTTCAGCATTAGAGAGAAACCTCTAGCAGCAACTATGGGCATCAGTGACAAGAAGACCCTTGTTGAGACAGCTTTTGGCTTAGCACAAAGGGGGAGTGTGCTCTCATACCAGAAGCCTGTATTGCCCACAAAGTCAGTCAAGATGCACCAGGACCCTCCACCTTACCCACCGCTGCCTATTGGGGAGTACAGGCTTGCCCCGACAGACTGTGTGCATGTGTGCACTGAGGAGGAGCACTTCCACCTTAAAAGCTTGAATGTCACACTGGACATGGCCTATAAGATTGAGGCAGCGACAAGAGAGCAGGCAGCAGACCAGGAGTGGCATCAGTTCCGCAGGCCTAGGATCACCTCCTCACGTTTTAGAGAGGTGTGTTTTGCGAGGGGAGTGAGTTCTGCAGAGTCTCTTGCAGAAAGAATCATCAAAGGAACAAGGCAGATGGCAGAAATGAGAAGAGGTGCAGACATGGAGTTTGAGGTGGCAAGGGAGTACTGCCGGATGAAAAATGTCAACTACACACCCTGTGGCCTCGTCATCCACCCAGATGCCCCTTGGCTTGGTGCCTCGCCAGATGGCTTGATTTTTGATCCATTTGCACAGCCACCGTTTGGACTGGTTGAGATAAAGTGCCCTAATGTGAAGAACTATGTGGACTGTAAATACCTTCAAATGCAGGATGGCACTTTGGCTCTCCGTGAAAGCCACTCTTACTACTGGCAGGTGCAGGGTCAACTGTTGATCACTGGCCTGCAATGGTGTGACTTTGTGATTTGTGCTCAGGAAGACATGCTGGTGCAGCGTATCTAGGTTGACCCGGAGGTAAAAGCAGTCATCAGAGCGAGGGTGGACCAGTTTTACTTTAAAGTGTACATGCAGAAGTACTATTTTAAATGCTTTGGGTCTTCATAACATACAGGGTGGCCATACAGAACTACACATTAGCCACAGCATATGCCTCACAAGTATTTAAAGTAATTACACCACACACAGGTGCCATTTACTCAATGTTGTCTATTACTTGAGAGTAAAATATGGTTCTGATTTTTCAAGAAGGTGACTTTTTTCACTGTTCACGTTTGTCATTCACATCTAGGAATGAGACCATAGCCTTTTTCGAGGGGCTCTTACAGGCAATTTCAATGTTTCATGCATCACTGTTGGAAGGATGTTCTTTTGGTCAGCCCAACTCTTTATCGCCAAAGAAGCAATATTTGCATCAAAAAGTTACACCATAATTGTTATATAAATAGGTGCTGTGTATTTTGCAATAAACACAGAGAGAGGAAAAAAAGATTTTTTTCAGATTTATTTGTAAGTGACAAAAATAATTAAATCATTCCATATACAATTTGTCTCATGGTGACTGTATACAAGATGTTTTCAGATTTCATATACAATATTTTACTGTATGCATGGTTTGATGTCATACATTTTGCTACAAGAGATAGACAGGGGGACAATTAATGAACATTTGGCACTTTGACAAATTAAACCACTCAAAGTCAAACATATAACTTGTATTGCTACATAAACATGTATCATGGCATACATATGTCAAATCTACATCAGAGAATCCAGTTCTTGTTGAAATTGTTATGTAGTGTTATTGTATATCATAAAGAGAGACAAATGGAACAGAATTGAGGGAGGTCCATTTTCAGTTTAGCGAGCAGATCTGAGACAGGAATATTGACCTCTGAAATCTTTGATGCACCTAATTGTCCTCTCCACATGTATCCTTGACCGTGCAATGTCCTGAGTGACCAGCACTTCGCCATGAGACAGCTGTGACTTTTTACTCAGAAAAGGTGGTCTGTAAACTTTGCAAGGCACTAGGTCGTCAATTCTGAATCTCTTGTCCACCATTACAGCCATATCTTTATCCAAAAGAGGGACAATGCCAGATTGCCTGAACAATTCTTTGTCACTGATAGAGCCGGAATACAGTGAGGAAACAAAGGTAACAGCATGTGGTGACACGCCAATCATTCCTTTCAGGGCAGTGTGGGATTTATACTGTGAAAACATCTCACTCTGTAAGAGTAAAGATGAAGGCATCTGACATCTCATCTCTGTACAGTCAATAAGGACTTGGGTGTCAGACTATTTGCCGAATACACTCGGCATCGTGGCTCTAATTGTCTCAGGAGACATCAATATCCCAACAGCACCCAATAAGGTGTACAAAAAATGTACCCAGGTCTTGATTATCCTGCTGACGGTGGACTGATGAATGCTGAAACGATCACCCAGATCTTTCTCCTTCAGACCCAGCAACAGGTACACCAAGAACAGGAACAGTTCATCAATCATCGGAAGGCATCGGCTCCGGTGGGTGGTGGGGAGCAGGGGGAACAAGTCTTAGTGGTAAAAACGATAATCATTGCATGGTCATCATAAATGTATGTAAAGTGGGGTCCAAAAGTCTGAGACCACTTGTATGTGGTTTTAATTGTATTGAATTAGATAGTAGTGTTCTTACGGATGCTGATTTATCAGCAAGCTACTTTTAAAAACAAAATTATTAAGTATGAATTATGCCTACCGGTCGACGAGGTGGATCAGTGGCATTGTCAGGAGCTGCTGTTGTGCTGGAAGTGGATGACTGTGCACCAACACGCACCATTCTCCTTGTTGCAGGTTCAATCTGTCTCTAAAATGCCTGTAGATGGCGGTAGCTGGCAAATCTAAAAGAGTGAAAGAAAATTATTATTACCTTTAAATCAAAGCATAACCCATTATTGATGTTGGAAAATGCATCATCACAAAGCTGAAAACAGGCTGTTTTTCTGAGCTTGTTGACTTTTTAGAGATATGTGGTTCTCACAGGACAGAGATGCTACAAACAGGCTATGATGATCTTATAGATTAAACTAGCCAACAGTATATAAAGAAGTTAAAATGAGCTCAACCTTAAACATCTACAGCAGTAAAATGCAACATACACATTAATGCAGCAGTAATATTAATCCATAAACATCCTATATAATAGTAAAACACTGACAGGGATCATTTTACTGCACTATGAGTACTTTTACTTTTCATTCTTTAAGTACATTTTTCTGATAATACTTACATACTTTTACATAAGTAAGGTTTTGAATGCAGGTAGTGGAGTATTTTCAGAGTGTGGTATTAGTGCTTTAACTGAATTAAAGGATCTGAATACTCTGCCCACTACTGTGTGAGTACATATACATTCATAAATGAATGGATTTGAACACAATCTAGGTCTGCAAGAAAGTCATAACCACAAAGGTATGCAAGCTAAGTATCATATGACATAATATACCTGGTATAGAATCTGATGTCGTCATCTGATGCCAAAAACCTCTCCAAGCCAAACGACTGCTTCAGTGTAACCTCAGCCAGCCTCTTTTGCAGCTCCTCTATCCCCCGCTGCTGGGCCTCTATTTTCTCACATGCTATATCCAAAGCTGATGGTTCTGGTTTTGCATCATAATCATGGCACTGAAGCAACAGTTCAACATCCATCTCTTCCTCTTCAGTTGATTCATCCCCTGGTCGTTGTATTCTCTCCCAGACACTTGGTCTGACTGCTGGCAGAGAGTAGTCGTTCCAGGCGAACAACACGGGTACAGCCCCCTCTTTCAAGCGTCGCTGTCCACCTTGAATGACATCCGTGGAGACAAAATGTCTACTACAGACTGTGGTGGTCCTCTTTATTACTAAATTCTCACGTCTCACAATACGTATCCATATTTTTCTTAAGGTTTCTTCCTTTGGGAAGTGGTGGAAACTCACGGTAGAGTTGAACTTCCCAATTGAGGTACACAGCAGAAATCACTGTTGGGATTATCCCACTTCTGGTACTTAACTTGCTTTGACATTTTCTTCTTCTCACTAACATTCAGAAGTTAAAATCAAATAAAACGGTAACAGTAAAAAGGGCTAGCTAGGTTAGCTAGGCCAAGTCAATAGCTGTCGCCGTCAGTTCCTACCGCTGCTACCGGCTTTTCCGACAAGTGGAAGTCAGGAGAGCTGTTTTCCAGTTTGGTCACGTGACACTCGGCATAAAGCCTATAGAAATTTGCTCTTCTTATTGCTTAGCTAGCCTTCTTTACATTCTTTCTTTTACTCAAGACCATGGTAGTTTTCCATATTGTGTTTGCTGCCAGTTTTACAGAACTAATAAGAATAACATATGCTGAAAGGTTGGCCCACCCACTGAGGAACATATATGATCTTAATGGGAAATGGAAACACTTCTTCCAAATCTGTTCTGACGCAGTAAACTCACATGGCTGATAGGGGTTTCCGTTCCAACGGTCTCTTCACTGCTCCCATGGTTCCATAATGCCAAAATTCCACCAGCACAGCTGTATGAGGTTGCGTCTGTAAAGTGGTTTGGCTCCGTCACCACCATCTGCAAATACAACTGAGAGCGTTTCAGGAGCAGAAGTTCTTCCAAGTGTCATACCTGCCCAATGTTGTTGATGTTTACCTGGTCTCCTGGGTGAAATTCCTGTGTTTGTTTGAGCCATCCATCCACCCAACTCCTCCACATCCAGACATGATACTAGTCATATTTCGAAACTTTTGAAACCGCCCCTGGCATGATTCCCAATCAATGTTTTCTTGAAATTTGGATGTATTATGGTTCAGGGTCACTCTGAGTAACAAACCCACTTCATCATCTGTCCAGACAAAATGATCTGTTTTTGAGCGAGCATTCGCCAGCTTTCCTTCTCTTTATACTCACTGTGCTGTAGAGGAAAACGTTTGTACCATTGACAGTATATAGAAAGAGCTTCCGGGTCTAAAAACTGTAATTCTATGTAAATTCCAGCAGGGGGCTGCAATAACACAGCAATCCCATTCACTTGAATCGAGAATAAGTCGACTTGACACTCAATTTATTAGCTCAGCATACAGTTTCCTTATGAGTTTATGGTCTCAGTCGCTAGTTTCACATCTTCTTCAATACATTATGATGTTCATTTAGTAAATTATGGTCCACTTTAGAGTAAAATAGACGATAAAGCCGAGTATGTTTTTGGGCGGGTCTACCTTTTCATTGACAGGTCATTCTCAGTAAGCGCCGGGCAAAACGCCGAACTCCAAAACGCTCCACAAACCAATGAGTGACGTCACGATAGGTTCACACTTGGTTTGTACGCAGTAGCGTGGTGCTCTTCTGTAGTGTTGAGTTACAACACCACCTACTGGCCTGGCATGCATGCTACAATGTGTGACGTCACGTGCAGTTGTGGCCGTGCCATCCCGTGTGGTTGGCTTCTCAATATTTCATTATTGCAGTTGCCCCAACAGCCCTATCTGTGTGCACGAGGATCGTTTTCACAACAACATAGTGACCAAATTGCACGAGGCACTCAGTTACACAGAACAAGATACTTAATTAAACAGGGTGGGATACTGTGTTAGGAGAAAAAATGATCCAACACTCCTCTCCTGTGCTTCATCCTTCTGTTGATTTCTCCTCTCATTGTGTCTAAGCAGATCATCAGTGCCAAGGTCAGTTGAATGGTGTGAAAACAAAGTCTCACATTACATTCTCACCCTCCATCCCATCTGAACAGCTCATGCTGGAACGCTCTGACTCACTAATAAATACTTCAGGGCTTTCAGCCTTGTGCTTGTTAGTATTATTATACTGATTAAATGTTTTCTTCAGTGACGCACTAATACAGCTAAGTTTACCCACAACTACAACATCAACAATGAGTAACATCATTGTAAAACAGTGTTTGCTGCTGCCCACAAAGCCATCGTTCAAACTTTCATGTGCACAAAAAAGCATTTAAAGGAAAAACTGTTTATGATAACATTTTCTCACCAAAGCCATTTCTGAGACCTGGGAACACGTACTAGTACAATAAACGAACCAGCATTTCAAACAGATTTACAATTTTTTACAATTGCATAAGAAACCTATGAGCGTGCACAACTACTGCAAGTAGTACTGTAGGTCAAATGGAATTGAAGTCAGTCTATAAAGTGATGGATGTTTACAACGGACATGATGGGTAATAATTTTACCCCTTTACTTTCCATTTTTCGGAGCTGGACTCCAAGATCATGTGATAATGTGTGCCATGCCTCAAGCTCTTCCGTTGTGTCTGAACCAGGTTTGGCACAAGAAGTGTCCTTTGAAGAACTACTGGCAGCTATGACCTGATCTATGCGTGAGCTACCGGTGAGGTTTAACACCAGCTGTGTGATGATGTGTGTTACAGAGGTTAGTGTAAATGCTGCTAGCGAGAGTATTTTTAATTGAAAGAAGAGCAAAGAACAACACTGATGATCAGTCAGAGTGACTATGTTATATGGTTGTTAGATCTGATTAGTTGAAGTTCGCCTGTGATAGACACATGGTTCATCCAGTCACCTGCCAAGTATTTTTTGAAAGTGCCTGTCCCTTTCCAAACTGTTTCTAATAACAACTTATAATACATTTTAGATATATAAATAAGATGCGTAAGGAGCAAGATCGGAATAAGCTCCTATCAATGTATCGGCCCAGCTGATTTATTGGTTTAGCTTTAATTCAGTAACGGAGCATCCTTGAGAGCAAAACATGCATAATTTAATACATAAACATATAGTATGTCCCAGGCCTGGATTCGCCATCAGGGACACTGTATTCATTGGTGGTATGTTCTTTGTATTTTGACAAAATGTTTTCCTAAAAATTAGATTTTTTAAATTAAAGGGGAAGATAAGGACACACTTGTTTTTATAGTCAGTGAATGATGAAACAGAACATGCCAGTCACCCCTGATGGAAAAATATACATTATTTCATCTTGAAAATACTTGAAAGTGTTAATCCCATGTAAACATTATGTCAGTATTACATGCATATACATGTGTGCTATGAAAATATTGAACAAATGACAGTGTGGTTTCCATTCTTTCAATTCCACTGATTAATAGCTGCCCGTTCATTGCATAATACACAGTAGAAACTGTTCCAGCAAAGCCTATGGCGCAGAAAAAGTCAAAAACACCCATTTCCTATTTCTCCAGAAGAGTCTCAGTCATCTGTTTTATGGAGGAACTCATTGACACAGAAGGCAATAAAGTAGAGAAGCTTCAATCTAAAAGTAGTGCAGATGGAGAGGAGCCAGTGGGTGGTTGAAGAGGTAGGGACACTGAGGCCATGTGAAGGCGCGGAAGAGGAGGAGGAGCATTAAGAAATTGGATGAATTAATGATGAATCTGCAGGAAGGCAGCCAAGAGCTGAGATAGAGTGTGTATGTGTGAGAAAGACACACACAAAAAGATAAACACAGTGGAAGAGGGAGAGAAGCATACAGAATGAGAGAACCAGAAATAGCTGGTGTGTGTGTGTGTGTGTGTGTGTGTGTGTGTGTGTGTGAGCGAGGCTGAGGTGGGCTCAGTGCCAGCAGTGTGAGAGAAGCAGAGGAAAGTCTGTATCCATACTGGGTTTGGTTGGATGACAGAAAGTGGGAAGTTTTAGAGTACTCATCCTGACAGACAAGGTTTATTCTGAGGTTGAAGCTATATCATCAAATCTATTTCATATTTAGCTTTCATGCTTTGGCGGTATCTTTGTATCACATCAGGGTATGTGTTAAATGCTCAAGGCTTATGCAAGCTGTTGACTTTTGTTCACCACAGTGCCACTTTTAGTTTAGGGCTAGAGCTCCATTTTTGTCCCCCGCTGACAAAAGTCATCTCATGCAGAAACACAGAGAGATGAAGCTGAGGGGAATGAGAAAGAGAAGAGCTGCTGCAGCTGTTTGGCAGTTCTTCAGCTCAGATGACACCAGAGAGCCTTCTGAGCTGGACTACGCAGTGGAGCTGTGTGTGAAAAAGCTTTATCTCATGATGCTCTTACTCTGCATGCTATTCTTTGGACTATATAGACCTGCAGTCAAACTAATTCAGTGGACACAGTCTTGGTATACCAGTTTTGACTTATAGTACCGGTATGTAAGCCAAATGACAATTGTTGTTTGGCAGAACCAAAATGAAAAAATACAATGTTAAAGAAATTTTGGACATTTTTGGAAATATGCTTTTAGTTTTCCTTCCAAGAGTTAGAGTAGAGGAGTGATACTGCATAACTGATCATTATCAATGCAAATTCTTTGCATCGAGGCTTAGTCTGATCCATATAAATATATACAGCCATACAGCGCACTGTGTTCTACACAAATGATTACTGTCGCACAATGCACTCTGGAGAGAGAAAATAGCAAGGGTCAAATAATAGAGACAGGCCAGAGAAAACAACAGAAAATATCATAAGTTTGGGATTATTTCAAGCAGAAAACCGAACTAGCCTTACACAATAACACAACATTAGTGCTTCATTGTGAAAAGCTAGCTGAAATCATGTATATAGTTTTCGGGGGGGGTTACATGCTGTTATTTCTTGGCAAACACCAGCCGGGCGTAATGACTTTATAGAGTCATCATCACAGTCAAGTTGTGAGTTCAATGACTGCATTGGGACACTTGCGCACTGTAACTAAATTAAATCCACATGCACTACATACAATGTGCTAGCCATTTCCCATTGCTTTCAGCCTTCATGCTAAGCTAGGCTAACCACATACACTAGCCCTGTTTCTATAACCACAGTGAAATGAGAGAACCTCTGGGATCACCATTCTGTAACTACTGTTAGCTAGGTTGTGGGTTAGCAAAGTGTTGCTAAAGTTATAACATGCAGAGAGGATGAGATGGTTGCAGACAGCACAACTCTCCTGCTACTATAGCTAACATCACAACAACAGCATATCTTGGTGAACTACAAAGGAAGCTGAACTGAAACACAAATCCTGGCAGAATGGCTGGACTAACAGGTTATAGGGCCTGTACAGAGCCAGGACAGTATACAACCACCAGCTCTTTTTATGAGCATACACTGAGCATAAGAAGATATTCACTGAATTTAAAAACAGTGTATTGGTTTAGAATTGCTCACCCCACCATTAGGCTTCCATAATGTGACACAGTTTCTGGTGAAACTAAATATGTCCACATTCCAGGGTATAATTACAAGAGGGATTTGATCAGAGCCTTCATATTTTATTAGTGTGACAAGTTATATGGACCTGTGCAGGTTTCTCCCACACCTCGCTTACAGGAGTAGAACCAGGGAGAAATGAATAAATTAGAGACAACTACGCCTTTTTGAAATGTAAGCAATGTTGTTGCCAATTGAGAGCTCTCACTCATTCTGTGGTCTTTTTCTAGCTGCCGTTATCCATGAACGGTCAAGTGTGGGGCAGGGTTAGCTAGTCACTCCCAACCACATTTGATTGGCTAAATTTATGGATGAGTTCTAGATGAGTAATCAGGATTTGAATTTGGGAAATCACCAAATTATTGATCTTCTTGTCTAACTCTTGGAAATAAAGCAAATAAGCATATTTCCCAAAATGTTGGACTAACTGGTTCAAATTGAAAAATGAACTGATGATTAGTGTAGAGCCCGTGTTATGCCTTTACTAATGTTCCTTTAATCTTTTTTGTGTTTTATATTCATCAGCAAAATAATGAAAGTGCAGCGCCTGCCAGGTGGCTTTTCTCTCCTATCTCTGTCCAAGTGACTAGAATAAAAAAGACTTTTATGTAAGTGTTAGAGAACTTGCAAGTTGCAACGGTGCCAGCACACATTTCCAGCCTGCCAGAGAAAGTGTGTGCATGGAAAGTGAATGAGAAACCTCCTCTCTCCAATATTGCCGTCAAGGTGCCTTTGAAGACCCTGCAGCATAGCAATAATAGAAGATGTGCTTGTACTGGAAACAGCAGGATAGTGAAGGCTGACAAAGACTGTGGTCAGTCCACCTGTAAATAACAAGTGACTTAAACACAATTAAATCCCCTGTCATATTTGAAAAAAATGCCTTAAAATAATAATTTTTCAACTGTGTGTTCTTGTGCATGGCTGAAGCGTGCTCTCTTAAAAAGCTTTATACAGAAATATGTGTGTGCCGTGTGTAAGCTGGCACTGACATGATGTCGTGTGACAGATCGAGGCCACTGTGAAGCAATCATGAAAGAGCGGCTCCAGTTATTGATCCCAGGATTAACAGTGGAGCTGCACAGATGACACAAACACTGGAGCACAGGAGGCTGTACACATGTGCTTGCACTCACACTGAAAACCATCAGACACGCACATGCACACTCTCCCACGCTGTATGTGTATGTGTATGGTGGCATGCCATCATGTCGCATCTGTAATGCAACGGCGCTGTGGTCTCTTTTCCAGCAACCTGTGCTTCATACCGGTCACAGAGCCTGTAGGATCTTACAGAGGGACTCAAACAACCTCAGGCAAGTTCACTGCACGGTTGAAGCCTTGAGAGAGCTGACAGACTTTATTCAACACCTCCAACCTGCTCAGCATAACAAAGACAAACAGACACACAGAAATCAATCTATATTCTATGAACATGTGTGCAAAGTTTTACTTAAATAAAGATGAATATAATTAGTTTCATACTGTATAAGAAAAATGACTGTGTAGTCACATTATTATTTGAATGATATTAAATATATTCTATTTTTTTTCTCTATCTGCTATTGCTCTGTGCAGGCTCATCATCTTTAAGCTGTTGAACTACTATTACTATTACTTTTATTAGCTCGCATAAGGTATCACATTTTGCACTTGCACACATGTCTCATAGACAAGAGTAGTGCCATCCATCAAAAGCCTTTCATCTTTCCCTCAGTCTGTTGTTATGCCTGTAAATTGAACTTATCTATTCTGTGTCTCACAGTGCAGATGCAATGCAGCAACACAAGAAGTCAGACAGACTCCTGAATCCAAATGAATCCTCCTTTTGTGCTCCCATTGGGGCATTAATTACAGACATACTAGTTCAGGTGTTGATGGAACAATACCCAGTGTAGCTCACTTAATTTCATCCTTGTCCCCACAGAGACCAGGTGGAGAGCAGATAGTTATTACCACATATAAGCTTTCCACTATTGTGCAACTTGTTTGTGCTGACATGTACAACCGCCATACTGTGATAAGACGCCGAGAATGAACAGAACCTCACGCCTTCTTCGGCTCAGACTAAAACAAGGTTGTACCTTTCATACCCAGAATGGAGTGCAAATGCTGTGTAATTTTCTCATAATCCATCATGCATTTAATTTTAAATCCATTGACCCCTTTGGACCTCTCCAACTGCTCGGCAAGTGGACTCTCACAGAGGGGAAGTGAAAACCAACCTCTAATTTTTGCCACTTCAGATACCTCCAGCAAGTAGCTTTTACTTTCTTATGCATTCAGTCTCAGGACTGATTTGTATTTGAGACCAAAGTAAAGCAAAAGCCACTGCTCAAATTGCCTTAATTGCCTGTTGACATTGGATGATAAGTGTGACTGTAGACAGATGACAAGTGTTTCATGCATTTAAGTTCCTTATTTTCTTCAAGAAGTATTTGAACTGGTAGCACGTCAGCTTTTGGAGTCAACAGTGTGCATCTCTTTAACACCTCAAATCTCCCTGAAAGCCTTTCTGTTAACCTGCACTTCTTCTGCATGATAAACTAACAGTTCACCCTAAAATCAAACGATATTTTTCCTCTTACTTGTTGTGCTATTTATTTATCTAGATTGTTTTGGTGTGTGTTGCTGAGTTTTGCAGATAAAACAGAACCAGATGG